TATTTGTGACCCGATTTTCTGAGAAAGAACAAAGAGAATGTTGAAAATCTGTTGTTAAAAGAATGCAGTTATTACATTTTATATAGGTCGCTGTACGCTAAAACCTTGACCCAAAGACAGAGACATCCCCATTTCAAATTATTTCCACACAATTCACCTGACCGACAACTCGTTGTGTTAGTTGTCCCTTTTCGAGATATTTTTCAAATTCACTCTTATATTGTTCATCTACGTTGACAACTCCTTATTTGCTCATTTAGGAAGGCAATATGCGGTGGGTATTGTCTTTAATACTTCTCATCGCTTTTGCGGAAGCTCAAAATCAAGATGTTCCTGTTGTCATCAAGCTTCAACCTGGAAATCGTGCTCAGTTCATGCAGGTGTGAACCATGTTTCAAACGTTTTTAAGAAATCTCTGTTAGACTCATATGCCAAGAGCTGTTCCAACTCCAGAAGTCGCTCCTAACACTCGTGTTCCAAGCGAACAAGTTGTTCCTCAAATCAACAGAGCTGTTCCACCAGTTGTCAGTGCTCAACAACCAGTAGTTTCAGCTGTTGGAGCTCCAGGAACTCAAACTTTCTCATCCCGCCAGGTATCAGTTGAATCACAAAAACATGGAATTCATCTTATTTTTCAAGCCAACCGTTGTTGCTGGTCCATCTGTTACTATTCCTCCAGATGTTCAAAATCAGCTCATCAAGTTCTTCGGGCTTGATTCCTTTGGAATTCCAGGATTGACTGGAAATCATCCACAAGGACTGGCTGGAGCTTTACAAGAGCTCAGAGCATCAGGAGTTCCGGTAGCTGGAGTTCCTCAAACCAAGGAAGGAACCAAGAACGATGGTAAATACAATCAGAAAAGAAGTTTTCTGAAGACCATCACTTGTTCCAGACGTTTTAGCTCAAGCTAACCCTAACTTCACTAACCAACTTGATCAACTCGCACAAAAAGCTGAGAACCCAGGACCATACAGACCTGCTCCCTCTTCTCAATTGCCAGCTGAAACCCCAGGAGAGAATGGTTTCATCGGACTCTTATCTAACTCCATCCGTAAATTAGTGAAAGATAGTGAGTAATCGAAGATTTCGAAATTTCAATGTTCCTTTTCAGCCGGAGTTTCTGACGCTCTTTCTAACTCCCTGCCATCACTTTTGGGAACTGGATCAACATCTGAAAGTCAACGACCATCAGCTGCCGTTGCTTCTAATGATCAAGAAGCTGTGACCCATGTCAAGGGAGAGAACATCAGAAGAAAGCCATCATCATCGTCATCCTCTCCAACTCAAGGAGTTTTGTCTGGATTAGCTGCTGCTCTCGGAGGAGGTTAGTAAATGATGCCACTCAAAATTTACAAAATCTTTCAAGGAGGAAAGAACTCTCCCACTCATGCTGGACTTCCAAGAATCCCTGGAATCCCACTTCTCCCAGGAGGTATCCCACGTAACTCTGAAGGACAAATTGACGTAGTTCAATTGATCGGTTAGTATCCAGTTAGTCACTGGAGTCATATTCGTATCTTCAGGATCTGTTACAAAGAAGATTTCCAATGGAACTACTTTGGCTGATGTTCTTCCACCAGAGCAATTGCAAACTCTTGCTGATAACGTAACCGACGCCCTCTTGCCAGATGTTCCAAACGATTTCGAGTTCTCCAAGTTCATGGGACGTTGGTTCGAAGGAATCAACTCTCCACGCGCCACCGAACAACGTTGTGTTGTCCATCATTGTAACCTATTTCTTCTCACTCACTATAGTATTATTTCTATTAAGACGGAGGATTAACTAAGAACGACAAGACTGCCACTTTCACCGCTTTGAAGATTTACCGTGAAGGATCAGAGTTCGGACCAGTCAAGTATTCCATTGGATATGCTTTCCGTGGAGGAAACAAGAATGCCATGCTTACTCTTCATACATCTGAGAACAGCGATACTCAACCATGTGAGTAAACTACTTATAAACAAGATAATAACTTACCGTATTCCAGTCTGGATCTACAAGCTTGGACCCGAAGGAAAAGACCCATTCGGTAACTCTCAATACGAATATGCCATCGTTTCTAACTGGGTGAAATATCCTGTGACTGTGTTGGTTCGTGATCCAGATAGCTTCAAGACGAAATACCAGAAAGAGGTAGGATAGACATATCTCATCAGAAGTATATGAGTGAACGTTTAAGGTTCTCATCTGGCTTGAGAAGGAAGGATTCGTCAACGGTTTCATCAGAGCTTTCAATATGTTGCAACCAGCCTCATACTCTAGTTGTCAATATGCCGACAGCACTTTCGAAGTTTTCGGATAATTGTTGAAAAATAGAAAAATATTTGAATTCCTTCATAGTTAGCTAGATACTGCGCTTGAAAACAATTGTACTTAGACAATTACTAATAATAATAATTAATAATAATTAATAATAATAATAATTAATAATTGAAATACGGAAATGAGCATTAATGTGAGAATAAAACCATTTTGTTATCCAATATCCTATCATATCTTTTTACTTATTATTGTATTATTCATATCCATATACTCATTATATCAATAAAA